ATCCGTTGCTCAGCCCTTCACTGAAGGGTTCTAATCCCTTGTCCTCTTCTCCCTGAGGTACCTTCCTTACCCAAGGCTGAGGCTCCTGCCTGCCTGATCTCAACAGCAGTGGATTGATAAGGTCACCAGGTTAAAGCACAAGACTCAAGCCGGTGCTTAATATACAGTGTCGATTTATACAGTCATTCGTTTTCTTTTCTGCTCCCTTAATTAGTATTTAAATATTCCAAGTGAAGTGGAATAGGTCGAAGAGGAGCCATTAATGACCTGAATCCAGAATACTCTATAGCCTATTTATTGGAGTGTTCATCTGGGGAGTGGAACAGACAAGTCAAAATCTACCAGCTCTTTCATTTAGAGCAGACTGCGCTGAGGCTTCTCACATCCCAGCTGAATTGCCCTAGCAACAATATTATTATTTTAAAAGGAACAACTTCTCTTTTTTAATAGCGTGACTAGCCCTCTGCTTTTAATATACTCAGCCTTAAAAAGGCATTTCACGTTAAATATTTTACTTGACTTTTTTTTTTTTTTTTTTTGCTGCTATTGGCAGAATAAGGACTGCAATATGTAAAATAACTGTGAAATAACAGAAATACAGAAAATTACTTTTTTACATTTTCATGAGTCTGAATGAAGTAGGGGTATGTTTTGTTTTGTTTTGTTTCTGAGGTAGTGGGGTAGCTGCTGAATTGTAAAATCAAGTGCCCACCCTTAACTATGGACTCCTATGCATTTTATGCCTTAAGGAGAGCTCAGCTCACAAATATAAAGAGTATTTTATCTATGCTTCCAGGTCTGCAAACTCACCCTGGACTCTCGAAGTCACACAGTGTTCTCCTCAAAGTTGTCACCAATTGTCAAGGTTTATTTATACTTATGAGACTCTATGGGTCTTCAGATTGTATCCTAAGTGACAACTCTGAAACCAGAGGAATAGTAGAAGTCTCAGAGTTTGAGCTACTTGGAATTTAGTAAATCAATCTGTTGACGTAAAGTTGACATTTGTGACCTGATGGGGCAGTTCTGTGAGCGTGAGAAATTGTGATGTGGAGTCAGAGGTATATATCCCTACAGTAATCTTTTTATAGAAATGTATATATAACTCTTTAAAGTTCCCATCCTCATTGAAAATCAATAGCAATCACAACCCAAAGTGCCAGGAGGCTCTAGCAGGCGTGTGGTTGTGGATTCAAATTGGGTGGCTGAAATTGTAACAGCCTTCAGCTGCACCCTCCACTGCTGTGACAGATGTTGCCTCCCCCAAAGGAGGGACAACTGATCTGCTCATGAATCTCCTGATCCACTGCAGTGTTCACCTGAGGATACTAAAGTAAACTGACTTGGGTTCTGGTTGACTGTAATACAGACAGTGAAATTTGTCCTGGGAGAGAAAATATATACTATATGGGCGGCAAGAATGTCTGGAGAAGTTCAGGAAACTGATTTCAATACGTTGCTGAAGGATCCCTGTCAATTTTACACATGAAAAATGATAGGCTCCATCAGGTGATTTCAAAGCACCAAAAATGCCTGTCTTTTTTATTCCCCCACTGAGCAGCTGACATCTCACTGACCTCTTGGGCAGGAGCTTTGCTAACTCTGGCATTTTTCTGAGAAAAAAGAGAATTGCTGCTGGCTGAATTGATGGAAACATTGTCCAAGTGTAGGTCCCTGTTGTAGGTCTAGCTGTTCAAATTGGATCACTGTAGGTTTGAGGAGGAGGTTAACACTGGTAGGAGATGGACAAAAATGCACATAACAACTGGGAACTGCAAAGCAGGGACCAGGCACAGAAAAGCATCAGGACAGCACCATGGATACTGCAATAACAGAGTGGTTGTAGCAGGGAGAGCAATCATCTTGGTGTTATTGTCTCTTCTTTTTGAAGTCAGGAAATTACAGTGGTATCAATATACAATCCTCCCCACATGAGATAATGTAACAGCAAACAGTCTTCCTCAGGAGTCCTCAAATAAACTCCTCCGGACAATTTTATTTATATCAGTAGCTAGGGACATAAACATCTAATTTCTGTTTTCAGTGGTTTAGGGCATCCTCTCTGGGTTTCTCCAGGCAGTTCAGAAGTTACATTCCTGTAGATGCTGCCTGCCAGTCCTGTGAGGATGTCTCTGATAGCATAAAACTGATAGCAACACTGGAGACCTTTCTTAGGCACCTGAATCATATTGCCAGCATTGGGAACCTCGAGCAGTTTAGCAACATTTTTCGTTGCTTGACTTCCAGGCAAATTTGCATCAATAGCTGTTCACTCCCATTTCATTGAATGTAATGATGGTGATTTTATTGTGTGACATCTTGAGTTTTTAAGGGGAATTCTGACTTGGCTGCATCAGGAGCCAAAAGCATGCAATAGATAACCTTCTAGCACACTTGAGCTTTGTCTCTGCAGCATTGCTCAGATTGATGAGTTGTGGGAAACTATTTTCTTCAGCAAGGAAGGCACATAGTCTGAATTTGAAAAGTTAGGTATACTAAATAGGAACTATTTTTTACAAATTTGAAAAGTTAGGTATACTAAATAGGAAGGAACTATTTTTTACGTAGCATTAGACCTAGAGGAATGATCCTTTGAATGGCAATTATGTGTATATGTCTATACCTATATACGCACAAAGAGTTTTAATTGCTTGCATTATAACGGTGCAAATATCTGCCATTAGTATGTCCTCTGAGGTATGCTGTGATACTAATCAGATTTGTCAAGATGTGGCAGTACTTTCTATTCTCTCTCACACATCATAAACTCTGACTGATATCCTCAAGGGAAAAGAATGCATAATGTGTCATTTATGATCTGTTGCATGCACAAATCACTTGTATTTTGTATGCAGTAGGATAACAAAATGCTATTGATTCTGAATTTGACTTTAGGAAACGGATCTTTATTGCTCGTTGTCACTTGGTAGATTTTCCCTCCTGCTGTGAAACGTTTGATTCAAAATTTATGTTTGGAGAAATGGAAGCAGTGATGGTTTTATAATATATAAAGAAAAGCATAAATTCTATCTTAGTAGATAGACATTATTCATAGCCAGAATAAACATTCTATAAACAAGACTAAATTTCAAGTAAGTAACAAAAAACATGTAATATGCCAATCTTGTTCTGCTTGTACAACCTTGCTGTTTAGCAGAACAGCTTTCTGGGGCTTGAAGCCAGGCACTGATCGGTGTCAGGATGCTTGTGCAGAAGCAAACTTAAAAGGCAGAGCTCAGGGAAGTACACACAAATGCAGTGCACTACGTGATGAACAAAAGAAATGTAGAACAATTCAGGGTGTAAATTTGAACACTTTATGGGTATGAAAGATTAAGAGACAGGGAACCTCTGATACCAGAATTGTCCTTCCTTGTTCTTCATCTGAGATACATGAAGGTTATTTCAGCATCACTTTACAGTATTGTTCTCACTTTCTACAGAAAAAGAAACAAAATAAATATTCATTGCATGAGGATTGGAAGACTTATAATTTTTTTTTTTTTTTTTTTTTTTAGGGATAAATATATGTACACATGGGTAATGTCAAGGATCTAATTATTCATTTATTTCTTTAACAATATCAATGTAGTGATTTTCAAATAGAGGCCACATACATGTTATGATAGCAAATATCTGAAAGTCTTCAACAGCCTTATACCTTAGCTCTACTGATAAGTTTCCGATGGCATATTTGCAATTTTCTTTCTGAACAGTTAACTAAATCTGTTTATCTTTGTATAGAATCCCTCTGTCACTTTCCTTACCACCATCATCCTAGAAAATTGTCACCTTTATAGGTTGTATCAGCTGTGACAGAACGTAGGTGATCTCAGAGTGAAAAGGAAAGGTATGAGCAAACCAGGCATTACCAGATTCCTTAAAATTTCAAATGTCTGTGGGCAAGGGTCCCTGAAATCACTAATGTTAATTTATGACTGGGTATCATCAACCAGCCCAGGAACATATATTTTAATATTTTAACAGTAACTTACAAGCAGATATTGTAAAATAAGCTAAGTGGAGGTACCGTGCTCTTCTACTGTTGTTGACTGCGGAGTTATGAATATTTTTACTATTATTATTGTATATTCTGAAAACAAATACCAACCAAGATTGTTTAGATTATCATTTTATTTTGTGAGGAAGGCTAATATGAGAATTTTCAAATGTTGTCAGGTTTCAGTTACCATAGTTTTGGTTTGTGTCTTGAATTAACATGTCTCCATGGAACTCCAGGAAGAAGCAGCTTAAGCCACTACTGTTAACTGTCCATTAAACAGTTTATGTGTGTCAGCTGTTTACTTAGCTAACATACGTACTCACCTTCCTACCACCTTTCTAGTACCAAAGCTGTTCTTTCTGGAATTAAGTCTATTCTGGCACTGTAACTCTTATTTCTTAGGAGATTATTCCATTAAATAAAAAATGCCACAAACAAAGATATTTAAAAATCAGCTACAAGCCTCTTTGCAATTTATAAGGATATGAAACATGAAATTATTTTCTGTTACATGAAATGGAGTATATACATTCCTGCTGTCATTGATGTGTATCCTTGACAGCAAAAATCCAGCCAAACCTTGAGTGACATAGACACATTAGCTCCATTGAAGTCAATGGAAGTACACTTAATCACATCACCTGAGAATCTGGCCTACAGCCTGTAACAGGACACTTCTTTGGAGAGCAATAATATGTTATACTTTCATTAATCACTCTTCTAGGTTTGTAGCTATTCACGGCAGACTAAAAAATGTCATATTATAATTAAAAAGGCCAGTTGTGGCTATTTCATCATGTTTACTCCCAAATCAAGTTTACTAAAAGTGGCCCCTGCTCAGGAAAAACTCCTTCCAGAAAGCAAAAGAACCTGTAGAAATATCTACATTTATTTTCAATACTCTGAGTACGGAAGTATTTCAAAACAATGTTAATATTCTTGATTTTTAGGCTCCAAGTTTAACATTCTATTTCCTCTGCTTTGACTATTTGTCTAGGACGTATGTCTACAACCACGACAATAATAGATGGTAAGAACGGATCCATCCCCTCATCATCCATGAAAGTGGGCAAGAAATCAGTTACAGAAGACCTCGTGACAACATTCAGCTCACCAGCAGCATGGCTTCTTGTTGTTGCTTTGATTGTTACCTGGTCAGCAGTAGCTATTGTAATGTTTGACTTGGTGGATTACAAAAATTTGGCAGGTAAGATTCAGCATATTCTGTTTGATGTCTTGTATATTAAAATTTAAAAATTTATTAAGGAGTGTGTATTATGTAAATTTGCATGTCTCTCACCCTCTTGGAGCCAGCACAGTGTCTCTGCTGAGTTTACTAAGAGAGGAGATATTGTGAAAAATGTCAGAACGTATTAGTTTACACTTTATACATCTTTATAATTTAAATCTCTCCATTTTGCAGCCCATCCTCATCCTAGAAAATGTGAATGTTGACAGTATTATAAGAATGTGTGGTGAGATTTCTGTTTTTCAGTTTCCATATGAAATTATTTCGAGAAAAGTGAAATTAATTATTAATTCACATTTTCTGAAATGCATTTAAAAATCTTTCATAGTTGCCTTGAGTCTTCTGACATTTGCTTACAGAGTTCAATGACAAGAAAGACAACTTCTAAACATGTTAATGCTAAATTAATCTTCAAAAGCCATAAGCACAAGACTAGATTCTTAACATCAGCTAAGTCACACCCTTGTCTTCAATAATGCAGAAATTCTAGCCTAGTTTAAGACTTTGCAAACTGATTAAACAAGATCAAGTTTGGGGGTAAATATTTGTTACTGAGGGCAAAGATAAAAATGAAGTGTGTGGTACAAGGGCTGCGGTTGTGGTTCAGGAATGGGAAGAAATAAATGAGGAACAAAAATTGCCTCATTGCTACTTGATTTTTATGCTTTGCATGTGGCAATGATATACAATGGAAACTAGAATAAATTACCTCTGTTTGTAAAGGGTGCCTAACGTTCAGCAAGCCACTTCAGCAGCAAAACTTTTGTGATGAAACCAACTGTAATGATCGGGAAACATCTAAGTGAAGCAGAAAACAAATGATTAGGGTCCTTTTCTTTCTTAAATAAGAACTCTAGATCTAAACGTATCCCATCTGTCACAATAATTAACTAGGAATTTAAATTCAGACTTCAGCCTTTTAATTCAAAACAAATTGAGTTGATGGTTCAAAGTTAATTTCCTGGACTTTATTAGTTTACTGATAAATCCATAGTTTTTTGTTCTGCTATGTATCAATATTGACCTCAAGATTTACTTAAAAAGCTTTTGAGACAGAGACAGAGCTTGAGAGAAACTGACCAATTCTGGATCGATGGATGACATAGAAGCTTGAAATGTGGAGAAAATATCACATAAATATCTCCTAATTTTTTTGCTTCTCATTTGTCTTTGCTTTCAGAAGGAATTCACTTGAGTCACAGCAAAATATAGAGTTCCTTTTGAGTGATCCTCCCAAAACAGACATCAGATTTTAGTTTGTACACAACACATTTAATGGTACAACATAGATGTAAAGCAACATGCAGAAAGCACACTCTGCTTTTAATTTTCCATATTTAGTATCAATGAACCAGTGAATCAATCAGGTTCTTAATATGTTTTCAATTAGCAGGAGGGACCAGAGCATAACTCAAGCAAAACTTTTAAACTAACTGGTTCCTGACCTGTTTCAGGAGCTCACACGTGCTCAATATACTAGTCAGGGTAATGTTAAGCAGTGAGAATCCATATTCGTATTGGGGACTGAAGGAAACTTTCTAAGCAGACAGAAATCTGGTGTTCATGTTGAGCTTAAATCCCAAAGGTGTTGATGGAAACCAACGTTTTCAGACCAGGCTGTAGAAATAAGAAAATGTAAAATTTAATCCTCAGGATGAGTTCATACTTAGTGGAGATTTCAGAGAGATGATACTTTAGTATTTAGAGTTCATGAGTTCATTTCTTTTCCTTCCCAAAGTTATTTCTGTTCCTAAGTGATTAATTAAGCCAGCATTTAAATCGGGTCTCAGTGGTGAAATATTAAGAGAAGGAACTGCTGTGCTCCTTCAGACCAGGAATTATTAGGCTGTTTTCTGTGTTTGCATAATGTAACAATGACTACATAGCTCTTATCGTGACCCCTGGGTTTCAGCTTCTGAGTTCCTGCTCAGTATGATTTTTCCAGGTGAAACCCACTGATTTATAAAAATTTCCTGGAAATAGCTGAAGATTTCACATAGGACCAGCTAGTTGATATTACTGATACTGGAATGATTTTCACTCTTTGACAGTTTGGCCCTTTGCCTCCAGTAGAGATAATGCCATCTTTACATACAGAAAGTAGAATTTGGAGCATATTTTTAAGTGACTCCTTAATCTAAAATCTAGTGATATTTCTCCTGGGTTTGACACTGCTCTTCGAACAAGCAGAACAGCATTAAAAAAATGAATAATTATTTTCAGGACTGCAAGTTTAGTTTTGCAAGCATGATTAAAGTCAATTTCCTAGTTTTTAAGTGTAAATTTAAGAAGCCAAGGAAATTGTATTCAGCTGTATATTTTTTTAACCTATAAAACACAGAATAATCAGTGTATTTTTTCCTTAAATAACACCTTCATAACTCAGTGCTTTCAATTTCTTTCCCATTTCTTTACCTGAAGTTCCATGGAGTTCAAGTTTAGAAAGTATGCACAGCATATGAATGAGGCAAGCTGAGAGAGCAGAACTCGGTTAGTCCAGAGAAGAACAAACTGAGGACTGACCTAAGAGCAGCTTGCAGCTTTTTGAAGGGCAGCTACAAAGATGACAGAGGACAAACAGTTATCAAGATGAAGACCTTGTTGTATCTGGCAATATAATAAGGGAAATATGGCCAGAAATTGCTGCCTAAGTGGTTCATGTTGAACACTGGTGGTGGGGAAAAAGCTTTCCAGGAGGGCAGTGGGGCAGTGAAACAGGTTGCCTAGAGGGACTGCAGATTCTCCGTCCTTGGTAGTGTTCAAGACTTGGCTAGGTGGCCATGGCTGACCAGCTCCAGTGTTGGCAACAGTCCTTTACTGAGAGGAATTGCACTAGATGAACTTTAGAGATGCCTACTGATCAACATCAGCATGCTTGCAAGATTTCATTGAAGTGCCTGCTAGATTCACATAAGGTATTTAGAAAACACCTAGCCTGGGATCTCAGTGGAGGCACAAAGATAACTGAGGGGCAGATTCTCCCATCCTCACATGTAGGGACTGGATCTGCAGACCTTTGTAGTCAGGATTTCACTCATTTGTTTATATAGTTAGTCCTGTTAGTTTTTGTGCAGGTCTTTCACAGTGATTTGTAGTGAGATGATTTAAAAGCATACTGTGCACATCTGCAGAGCCAGCCCTTGGCCAGATTTGGAGGAAGCAAGGACCTGGGCTGGAAGAGCTCTGGGACAGCTGGGTTAAGTGCCACACGCCTCCACACTGGGGCTGGCTCTGACCTACAGGCTCCCACCAGAGACTTCTACTGTGTTTCTGTGCCAGAAATGACCATCTCCATAGCTGAGCCACTAGTAGTGACTGTACTGCGCAGGGCTGACTGCAGCCAAAAACAGGAGAGGGCTGTGACAAAATAAATCAGGCTGGAAATTGCGTGGCTGAAGAATATACACAGGTTTGTTCCTCCTGATTACACTGCAGAGCTGCTAGCCTCTAAAGGAAGCGCAACGCCCTACGTTATGAGTTTGCATCCTGAGATTACACAGAGATCCATGGAGCTAAGTGGAAACACAACAGAATTGACCTCAGCAGACTAGGAAGTATTTTAGACTCAAGCATTGTTTTCTTATTTGAACAATTAACAGCTTTGCTGTCATCATTTTAAAGGCAAATAATCAAAAAAATACATATACTATTAGTATTTTATCTTATATATTCTTTTAATTTATCAGTATAAACTTCACATTGCCTCTATGATTACAGAGTGCCAACACAAAGATTTTGCTTCTTTTTTACTGTGGTTTCGTGTTATTTTAGAAGTAACCTATCAAGTTCAGGGATTTTGACAATTTATACAAGATGAAATTGGTCCCATTAGTAAACTATATGAAAATGAAGTGTTTGATTTTTTTTATTACCAAAATAGATGCAGTAAACTGCATTTGGGTGGGCCCTCTCTGCTCACTGTCTGAAAAGGAGCCTTTAGAACTGAGAGAGGCTGAGGGAGGGTAATGCTTAGGTTTTAGGTAGCCTGAGTTAGATGACATGAACTCAAGCTCCATTCACAGAAAGATTTATGATATATTATGATATTGTAAATTCTATAGCACTACTACTCCTCCTACTCTGTAGTATTTAGGAGATGCTGGTTATGATAGAAAATATTTCAGGAAGACCCTGTGTTATGGGGTGTGCTTATAAAGCTCTGCCTTGCATATTTTTAAGTGACTCCTTAATCTAAAATCTAGTGATATTTCTCCTGGGTTTGACACTGCTCTTCGAACAAGCAGAACAGCATTAAAAAAATGAATAATTATTTTCAGGACTGCAAGTTTAGTTTTGCAAGCATGATTAAAGTCAATTTCCTAGTTTTTAAGTGTAAATTTAAGAAGCCAAGGAAATTGTATTCAGCTGTATATTTTTTTAACCTATAAAACACAGAATAATCAGTGTATTTTTTCCTTAAATAACACCTTCATAACTCAGTGCTTTCAATTTCTTTCCCATTTCTTTACCTGAAGTTCCATGGAGTTCAAGTTTAGAAAGTATGCACAGCATATGAATGAGGCAAGCTGAGAGAGCAGAACTCGGTTAGTCCAGAGAAGAACAAACTGAGGACTGACCTAAGAGCAGCTTGCAGCTTTTTGAAGGGCAGCTACAAAGATGACAGAGGACAAACAGTTATCAAGATGAAGACCTTGTTGTATCTGGCAATATAATAAGGGAAATATGGCCAGAAATTGCTGCCTAAGTGGTTCATGTTGAACACTGGTGGTGGGGAAAAAGCTTTCCAGGAGGGCAGTGGGGCAGTGAAACAGGTTGCCTAGAGGGACTGCAGATTCTCCGTCCTTGGTAGTGTTCAAGACTTGGCTAGGTGGCCATGGCTGACCAGGTCCAGTGTTGGCAACAGTCCTTTACTGAGAGGAATTGCACTAGATGAACTTTAGAGATGCCTACTGATCAACATCAGCATGCTTGCAAGATTTCATTGAAGTGCCTGCTAGATTCACATAAGGTGTTTAGAAAACACCTAGCCTGGGATCTCAGTGGAGGCACAAAGATAACTGAGGGGCAGATTCTCCCATCCTCACATGTAGGGACTGGATCTGCAGACCTTTGTAGTCAGGATTTCACTCATTTGTTTATATAGTTAGTCCTGTTAGTTTTTGTGCAGGTCTTTCACAGTGATTTGTAGTGAGATGATTTAAAAGCATACTGTGCACATCTGCAGAGCCAGCCCTTGGCCAGATTTGGAGGAAGCAAGGACCTGGGCTGGAAGAGCTCTGGGACAGCTGGGTTAAGTGCCACACGCCTCCACACTGGGGCTGGCTCTGACCTACAGGCTCCCACCAGAGACTTCTACTGTGTTTCTGTGCCAGAAATGACCATCTCCATAGCTGAGCCACTAGTAGTGACTGTACTGCGCAGGGCTGACTGCAGCCAAAAACAGGAGAGGGCTGTGACAAAATAAATCAGGCTGGAAATTGCGTGGCTGAAGAATATACACAGGTTTGTTCCTCCTGATAACACTGCAGAGCTGCTAGCCTCTAAAGGAAGTGCAACGCCCTACGTTATGAGTTTGCATCCTGAGATTACACAGAGATCCATGGAGCTAAGTGGAAACACAACAGAATTGACCTCAGCAGACTAGGAAGTATTTTAGACTCAAGCATTGTTTTCTTATTTGAACAATTAACAGCTTTGCTGTCATCATTTTAAAGGCAAATAATCAAAAAAATACATATACTATTAGTATTTTATCTTATATATTCTTTTAATTTATCAGTATAAACTTCACATTGCCTCTATGATTACAGAGTGCCAACACAAAGATTTTGCTTCTTTTTTACTGTGGTTTCGTGTTATTTTAGAAGTAACCTATCAAGTTCAGGGATTTTGACAATTTATACAAGATGAAATTGGTCCCATTAGTAAACTATATGAAAATGAAGTGTTTGATTTTTTTTATTACCAAAATAGATGCAGTAAACTGCATTTGGGTGGGCCCTCTCTGCTCACTGTCTGAAAAGGAGCCTTTAGAACTGAGAGAGGCTGAGGGAGGGTAATGCTTAGGTTTTAGGTAGCCTGAGTTAGATGACATGAACTCAAGCTCCATTCACAGAAAGATTTATGATATATTTTGTGGAATTTTACATATCCAGAATATGATTGTTGTAAATTCTATAGCACTACTACTCCTCCTACTCTGTAGTATTTAGGAGATGCTGGTTATGATAGAAAATATTTCAGGAAGACCCTGTGTTATGGGGTGTGCTTATAAAGCTCTGCCTTAGAATCACAGAGTCACCATGGTTGGAAGGGACCTCTGAGATCATTGAGTCCAACCTCAAAAAAACCCCAATAACTCAAACAACGAAAACAACAAAACAAAGACCACAACACCCACCCACAAACCAATAATCTTGGGCACTAGAGCATGCCCTGGAGAGCCATGTCTACATGTTTCTTAAATACCTTCAGGGATGGTGACTCCACCACCTCCCTGGGCAGGCCTCCTTGGTGATTACGTGTCAATTTGTTCAGAGGTTAGAATGGAGATGGGATCTGCAGGTCAGCTTTGGCTGTGGAATTTGAGGAAAGCATGAGCCAAGAATTAGGTCAGTGCTGAATGATTTGCCACTGTTCTGTCTACCCCGAAGAAGGAAACTAAATTTTGCAGTGTTTCGCTTTAGTGTGTTATGTGCATTTCTTTGAGGAACGAAATGAAAGCTTGCTTTCCTATCATGTTGTAGGGTGCAACTATAAACATGACTGAAATATTTTTAATGTGGTATGAAGGTGACGTGCATCACAAAAGCCTGAGATAAGAAACTACGAATCTCATGCAGTATGTAGCGTGCATGAATATGCAATAAGTAATATACTGCTTTAGAAAGTCTCTTATACGTTCTCAGAATTTTCAGAAATGCAAAAATAATTTTTGTTTGATGTGTGCTTTGCAGCAGTTCATTATTACTACCATCCTTTGTGTTAGGAAATATACCTTTTTAATTGGCTTCATAATTCATGAATGTATTTCACGCATTTCTTGTACACATAACTGGATTATATATTTTAATTGGTAAATGTAACTAAATAATTTAAGATTATTTGGGACCTAAAGATTGATTGCCCAGGAATCCACATTTGTTAATGGGGTAATAAAGTGTTCAGAATTCCCTGCCATTTCTGTGACCAATTACAGCCAATTAACACCACCTTAATTTCAGCTCCAGAGTGTTTAATATTTGGAGTAAATTGATAGTGATTTAGCCAGTCACCTAAAGGCCAGACTAAATCAAACCTAATGAAACCTCACCAAATTTATGAAACCCCAAACTAACCACAAAATAATCTCAGTGAAAATCCAGCAGAGCCACACAGCATGGTGAGCTTGCCGCCTTATTGTGACTGCTATCATAAAAGAAAAAAGAGCAGGCTCTTTGTTGTGGATAATTCAGTTTGCTCAACCATGAAGAGGCTTTTTAGAGACCTGCAGCAAAGGCAGATTTCTGCGGAGGAAATGCCTGTCAATGACAGGAATGGGGAACAAATAGGATCTGTAGCCACGGAGCTCCCAGCTCCACAAGAAGCAGCAGGGATTCCAGTCAGATACTCTCTTTAATGTTTTGAGGTTTTGGTGTGTTTTTTTTTTTTTTTCCTTTTTAAGTTAATGGCAAAACATCTGGCCAAATTGTTGTGGAGTTTCTCACATCAGCTTTTGACTAACACAGCCTGAAGTCACCATTTCCCTGCCTTAGCTTGTGGTCACTTCTACTACTGTCTTGCAGCCACAGAAGGCTTTTGGCTGGCCCTGGGTAGTCAGGATGATATAGCTATTAATATTCTCCAGTAGAGGAAAACTAACAAACAAACAAAAAAATTAAGAACCGTATATTCAGAAGAAAAAAAAGGCAATAGAAGGTAAAGAACAGAACTCCAACTTGTACACTGTGGTCAACACACAGACATTAGTTTTCCCAGTCTTCTGCATGAAAAAGCTGTAAGGTGCAAAACCTGTTAGGTGCAGAGTGTTTGTTTCATCATTAAGGGAAGTCGGCAATATATGGCTGTTCTGCTAGGTTTATTTGGTGGGGTGTCTTGGTGAAATAATCATTATTAGGAATACACACATCCGTTTCTCTCCAGGAATGATCATACTGTAGTCATTCTGCTGGGCTCGCGTTCACCGGAAATTTTTAAGAACTGTGAAAAGAATTATATTTATAATATATTTACTCCTGTATTTTATGCCAATATATCCACCAGTTTTAAAACTAATAGTATTTTTGCACTTATTCAGGAAAAAGAATTAAGTTCTGGCTTAGTTTACAGCACCAGCAAACTTAATGGAACAAATGACTTTGTTTCCTGGTTCAAAAGGTGTTTCACAGTTTCACCAAACTGAAATAATTGGTAAAAGCTTCTCCATGCATGCAAAACCCTAGATAAATCTCCTACAGAACAAAGGAGTGGGAGGTAAAAAAAAGGTGTTGGCCTTGCTGTGCTCACTTTGGAACTCATCAAAACAGTGCTATAGTCTTTTGAAATACAGTATTTACTGTATTTACAGGTGTAGTACGGAGCATGAATAAACAGCTTACATATTTTAAAGTTCTTAATGAAATTCTTAATTGAATTATATGGGACTTTCACTAATGTATCCAAAAGCTACAAAACAATTTTTTTCACTGTCTTCCATAATGATAAAAATGATTCAGGGATTTAAACACAATTGTAGTTTAAAGAAGGGCAGCCTAGTTGACATCTTGCTTCCCATGTTTCTCTCTGCAACAAATCTTACAGCTGAGTTATAAACCCCTAGAAAATGAGTTTATCCTGGAAAAAAAAAAACAGTCTATGAAGTACTGCTGTACTTCAAGTAGTGTGTTCATCCCAAATGGTCTAGCATATATAAGATGATAAATTGTGATAGATCAACTTCATGGGGTCATGAAGTTGAAAATGTGAAATTTCAGAAACTGAATTAATAGGGAAAGATCTGAGAAAATAAGTCTTGCATGCTTAAATGCACTTCGCAGGGTACAAAACAGAAACCAAATTACTGGCCCATAATGGCATTTGTGAAATTGCTAATTTTAAACAAATAAACAAAACCAGTAATTCATTTCAGTAACAATTGCAGTAATGTATTTCTTTGGTTATTTGCTCTGGAAGAAATCAAAATAGTTCAACCAGAATAAAATATATGTAATACATTCCTTTCAGCAGTAGAATACGTATGTAACTTGTGAAAATACCTGTGCCTTATTTAACCGTTTTTACATTGCTCTGATTCATACTGTGCTATCTCACACGTACAGAGTATTGTTTTTCTTTTTAACGAACTCCAGTTTCTGCTACATAAAACAGCAGCCCCACAGAGATGAAATAACTCCTCACTTCACTCCGCAACTGCTTCCTTTAGTCAAGCAACAACCGAGGATGTTCATTCATGCTAACGGTGTTTCTTCCTTTTTTTTTTTCTTGTTTTGTTTTTATTGGCCTTTCTGGGGTTGGTTCATCCCGTTGCCATCTGCTGTAGGCACCTATTCACAACATTGCGATGATCCCTGTTTACCACCTGGTAAAGACCTTCTGCCTGCAGTGTTCTGAATGGCCAGAGATAACCAAGCACGGGCACCAGCAGAGTGCCAAGGACGTGGCAGCACTGCTTCTCTGCTAACCCCAACTCTGGCTGGCTGGGGCTGCCAAGCTCATTGCAATTGCCTCTTCCCCATATTCACGCCGTGCTTGAAATAGATCTGTCAGCTCAGAGACGCCCTCACCCCGGAGATTCCCAGGAAACAGTGGCAAGCTGAGATTCCCTCATTTTACCCTCATAAATGCCCTTTTAAAATGGCAGCGTACAATTATTTAACAGCACTGACTTTTTAATCTGAAGTTAAGATCTGCGTTCTTCGTCAGATAATTGAATCCTTAGAACGATAGAAAACTAAAGTTTCAAATTATCTTAGATAAACTATCTGGTTTTCTCAGAACACATCACCTAATTAGGGTCTGATCCATCAAATTAGAAGCCTTTCAGCTGTTATCAAATCAAATTATATAAACTACATGCAAAGCCCATCCTAAACCTACATTCCTGTCCATGTGTATGGCTATATCCAAAGTACCTGATACTTCGTCACTCTTTGTGAATTTATTTCTAAATTTTGGCAACTGGGTTTTAGCTATAACTACTTTGTTCTCATTTCGGGTAAAATGTTTTTGTTCAATTTGAGGTGAGGTTTTCTCTTTGGACTTGACCTCAATATAATTGTCTAAGGCTGGTATTATAAAGAGTCAGGAAAGATTTATACTAAAGACTGTAGTCTTCATATCTACAGTTTAAGTACTGATAAAATGGAAATTACTGGGTAATGTTGAGTCTGAGCTTTCTTTGGTATTGTTTTTGTACTTATAATTCAGTACACTTATAATTAAAAATTAAATTATAATTTTTATACTTATAATTCAATGATACCCACCACAGTTTGTCCTGAAGCTTAGTGCTGTAACCATGACAAAAACGTTAGTCTATGAAATAGGAAGATAAGACCTAAGGACACCTATGCTGATAAACTGGAATAAAGGAAGACTTTATGTGTGTATTGAGTTTTATACATTAGATACTACTCTTCAGAAGACTACAGAGTAGAGACAACCTTGTACTACTAATAAAAAATCTTAAAAATATATAAACTTTAAAATGCAGCTGTGTGTATTTATAAGATAATATTCTACTAAAATTAGGATATGTTTTATTATCACAAAGTAGTATTAGGCTTTTGCATTTTATCAAAAATGACAGAAATTCTCTGTCTTCATCAGCTCTACCTTGTCAGTATCAATGAATTAGATTATATCTCGTAGATCAATCTTTACACCAGATAATTACCATCATTTGTAATTTAATTGCATTAATTCACTGGAGTCAAAATATGTAATTGATGAAAATCCAACAATTATTAACTGCAATTTATTTAACAAAAAAAACCAAACCCAACCCAACTTTAAAATAGGTTAAACTCTGAGTATATATTTAACGATTTGATAAGCAAAAAAGATTGATAGGAGACTATATTCCTGGTAGAATTATGGAATAACGGCTGAAGTGATTTGCACAGATAAATCAATTAGTCACTTTTTGCTGTGCACTTCACAGGAATAAATGACACAGACTATGAAACATAACCAAATTTGCTGGAGGCATTACAACAAATCATACCATGTGATTAATCAATTCCTATTTCCAGAAGCCACTGTTAAAGTACCCATTATCAATCCTGATTAAAAAAAGGTTTCTTCTGTTCACAAAATACCATAATTTTACTAAAGTTGAAGTGACTTCATGGGACAGAAAATTATTTTCTGTCCCATGAACATACCTAATGCTGATTGAAGAACTTTAGAAGTCTGTCACTGGTTGATTTCAAAGATCTGTGTTAAGTGTGAATTATTAGTTACCATTAAATATATGAATTCTAATTTCAAATTGATGGGATTAAAAATTGTGATCCAAGGGGAGTTCAAAATTGAAGAAGTTAGTTGGTCAGAATTCCTGTTCTCACATTTTGAATTTAATTACTGTTTCTGTACCAGTAATGCTGGAGAGTTTAATTTTGACATAATGATTGTGAAAGCCAGTTTCAAAATACATAGGGAGTTTTCAGAAGTATTTAATACCTATAACATATCTGAAATTATTTCTTAAAGAATTATTTTAACCAGATTTGCATATATTTAGTAAAGGAAAAAAAGTTTTCAATTTTTCTTGCAGATATCTACAACAAGTAACAAACATTTTCCAAACAAATTCAGTTGAGTTTTCCGACAATAGGGTATTGTTGAAAGGTAGTATACAAAGTCCTTTGATTTGACTGGGATTCTTTCTCCGTCAGCTTTAAATCTTCAGATTTCCTCATTTTCCAGAAAGTTCTAGAAATTTTTATAAGCATTGTTGGTGGTATCAGTGCTGTTTTGGAATGCAAGTTATTTATTGAAGTGAATAGTCGTATTGACCTAGAATTAATTATGAATGTAGTTACAAATCTAAGTGCTTATCCAAAGCACACGATGGCAAGAAGGATTTAAATATGAAACAGGACCACTAATAGGATCCATGTCACGTACCTCAGTCATGAAAATAAGGTGTCATGGCCATGTTAATTTCTCAGTTTTCCTTTCCTTCCTAGTTAATGAAAAGGGATGGGCTTCTTTGGTAATTAATTCATATAACTCTAAAAACCATGTCAGAGGAAGGCAAGAGACTTGTCTTCTGAAGGTCACAGTATGTCTTTTTGTGCTGACTTTTGAGGGAGTCTAGAAACCACCAGCAGTTCAACACCTGGCTTTCAGGTACATTTGGCTAGATAGGATCATCTGAATTTAAACTGTGATTAAATGAAATTACATACTGTCAACAATAGGGCTTCAATATTAATTGCATGTTTCATCCCTGAGCTTAACCTGATGAGTAACCATTTGCTTCCTTTCCCCTCCTTCCTACTTCGACAGACATTTAGTATTTTTCCACTACATTATCTAAGAGGAACAATTGGCTCAGTCCCTATTTACAAGTTCAGCAAAACGTAAAACTTCACAGCCTGTATCTGAGAAATACTCTGTATTCATAAAGGCTCTTTACGGTCTAAATTCAAGATCCTGCCTCTGCTACTCCCAGTACAATAGATGATATATGATATATCATCTATTAATTACAGTTTATAGTTATAGATTAGTTACAAATTATATATTACATACTATATAACATATGCTAGCAAGAGGAGTATATTTTGAGGTTAGTTTTAGAATAATTTGTGTTCTTATGTCTGCCAAGAAATGAAGTATCAGACAGAGGACAACTAATCCAGTCTGAATGTGTTGAATCCAAGACTATTCTAAAAAAGAATTCATCATCCTGTACCCTTGCTGGGCATCTGTAAATAAAAAAATAATCAAAATTACATCAAAATATGAAGCTCAAACTTTGTTGTGAAAATCTGCATTCTCTCACCTTCACTCTTGAAGCAAGAGTATGCAAATCCTCTGGAGATGGTTATCTTTTTTTGCATGTGTGTGAGGCAAATGGCATTTTTCTCTCTACTTGTTACCCCTGAATTGCTTTATTTCCCTTGTTTCTTGTGTGTTTTGTTCTACTGGGGAAAGTACCTGCTATTGTCAAAGTTGTCGAGAAACCTAAAAGCATGGATTTGATCAGTAGTAATTTTCACTTCAGCATTACCTGGTGTGGTGCTCTTAAGCATTTTAGGACACTTTGTTACTGTTAGCATTACTTTTTAAAAACGTAGGAAATACAAAAAAAACTTAAACAGAAGATCTGTGCACATGGAGACAACTTTTTAGGCCTGTGTCAGACTGCAAGTGGATCTTGCAGTATATCTGTTTGTATACAAAATTTAATTCAAAAAAAACTTAAACAGAAGATCTGTGCACAAGGAGACAACTTTTTAGGCCTGTGCCACTTGCATCAGACTGCAAGTGGATCTCGCAGTATCTGTTTGTATACAAAATTTAATTTTTCAACTACCACTAAAGTGTCCTCTACACAGGCCCAAACAGATTTTTCTAAACTTTTTATGTTAAACAGGATTTTCGACTTGGGCCTGTTAGTGTAGGCGTGACTGGGGAATTTCGCCTCTGGACACTTACAATTTCTAATCCCTTTTCATAGTTCGCTATGAAGTTGTTAGGAATTAAAGACCAGGATATGATGTTGAGAGCTCTGATTCATCAGCAAAGATGGCTTGCCTTGGGGTGGTTGGAATAATTTCCTCTGCTCTTGATCATCTTCTTCTCTGAGCATTTTCCTTGCCTGCCCGGGGGGACAGCTCTGCTACCTGTGAAGCAGCTCTTGAACTGCTAGTTGATAGAACCAGTATATTAAAATAAATTGACACCAATTCTTGTTTAGTTTACAGCTGTAGTCCCTGCAGTTGTAAAAGCCTCTGGCTGTAAAAGCAACTGAGCCATCCCTAAGCAACCAGTGGGTAAAGGGTAGGTGGCAGCCAGAGTGGAAATCAAGGCAGCTCTCCGAAGCTAAACCATCCCTGCTTGTGAATCAAAACCTCAGTTATGTTAAGACCCCTCTGGACATGTCCATTCTATTAGTCCACTTGGACTTCTCAGCGTCACCAGATTCAAATGAAGTGCAAGTAACATCAAGGGTCGGGTTGCAGATTTACTTTTTAATAGCCTAAATATTATAGAATCATAGAATCATTATAGGTATTCATTCTCCTGGTAAATACTTGAGAAAGAGTATTTGTCACAAATCAGTTGAAAAAATGAAATCTCTACATCTCAATGCATGAGGCCAATGCAAATAAATAAATGCCTTATAACAAGAAAAGTAAATATTCCCTGTTATAGTTCTCAGTATTTCTGAATACAATAGTGCACACAACAGTACACTTAATGAAGAGATCATGCATATTTATTTGCAGTTATGTAATTTTATCATAGCACGTGATTAATTTATTTGATGTGCCTGATTGTTCAGTAGCATATCTCTATATAATACAATCTTCAAAAAAACGTTAACCAAAATATTTCTTGGGTTTACGTTATTTATAATCAGATCCAAACCAATAGAAAATCAGTCTGGTCTTTTCTGTTTTGGATTAGTTAATTAGAAATAAAAGGAACTATTTAATGATACATTTAGATTTCAAATACAGTGACCTGTATATTTCATTACAGCACCTTAGAAAATAACTGTTCATACTGCTGCCATCAAAGAAATTGCTTCAAGCCTGCACTTTGCCTGTCTTTGTAACCTTCAAGTCCATATGAGACTACTTCTGATGGCTGCTAAGATTTGTCGTGTGAGTCAGAACACTGCAACCAGAAGTAGTTCTGAAGAGACTTGTGTTTAACTTCCTACTAAAATATTTGCATACAGAAAGATGTGGTAAACAGAGATACGGTTCCTGTTTTGATACTGTTAAATTCAGTGTCTACATTTCTATTGAAACTCCTAGGAACAAGACTAGGCCAACGACTCAAATCATATTTGTGATCTATCTTCCATTGTCTCCATTTGTGGGAAACCATCACACACATAGGGCAATTACACTGTCTGCCATTCCAAGTACAATGAACAGTACCATAGGCTGGAGGAGAGTTGTCCCTCTTCCTAAGCAGTGTTTGCTACAGATTTCGAGAAAATAGAAGTCTGCTGGACATAAAGGTCAGAAGAAATACTCTGTCAGAGGCTGAACAGTTGGTCTGAAATATTGTGTCAGCATAGAATAGGGAGAAATCTGGTGAAATGACAATTGGAAACGCCATTAATACTTGTATTGCCCACTGGTGGTTGCTCTCCCTGAGTGTGGATACTGTGGGGAGCAGCGGCCTCACTTCCATTAGAGGTCCCAGGAAGGTGCAACACATTAAACTGTGCAGCTTCCTTGTTTGCCAGATGACTTGCCTACAGCAGCAGCAAGACAAAAACTGGTTAAGTATGCAGATGTGCACAAGTGTACGTGAAATAAAGTCTAAGAGACTTGTAAGAGAAGAACCAGACACACAGGAGTACCTGTTTGAAAGTGGCTGTCTCTGTGACACAATTTGACTATGCATCCCCCTTCATGGTGGCCTCGGGATTATTTTGGCCCAAATACACACAGCTTTCTTCTTTCCATCCTTTACATGTACTCTATGGCAATGATACGACCTATCTGCTCAAAAATTTCCTCAGCCAGGACTTGTGTAAAGGATAGGGCACACGGGGAGATGTGACACGAGGAGAGGTGAATCCTAAACAGGCATCAAGAGGCAGAGCACCTGGACCAGAACAAAAAACTGGTCTGAAAGGAAAAGATTATCTAAAAAGGATGAATATTGGGTCAAATCAAATCTTTATTTATTCTTTGCCCAACCAAGCCTCAGAAGAGCCAGAACTTGGAGCCCAGTATCAGACCAAATTATCCATTGGGTTCTTAATCACTCTGCGAACAGCAAGTGCAGTAGGATACAGTTTATACCAGTCTTGCACAGGAAGGAGAGCTGTCCTCAGACCCTGGAATAATAAGTATTAACATTCACAGTCTTTGTTTCTGTTAAAGGAGGTAGTATAATTAGCCTTGTATAAAATTAAGATCAACTTTAATCACTGAAGGAGGTCTTTTTGTTTGTTTTTGTTTTTCTTTTTGTTTTTTTTTTCAAACCACTTTTGTTTTAAACTCTGCACTCAGGAAGATCTGTTAACAAGCTCAGCACAGAACCACTGAGAATCATTCATGAGACATTGGAAGAATCCACTGATTGGCTTTATGGCTTTATTTCTTTTCTGTCTGACATCGTATGGAGTGATGATGATGACAGTGATGAAGGTATTTGTAATGTAAAGACTTCTGTAACTGCTCTAACTGCTGTTTTACATGCATCATGTTGGCTTCCTCAGCTTTTAACCTCACAGACAAGAAGGTCAAACAAAATGAAAAGTGAACGCTGTTGCTAATAAAGCATCTACTGGCTATTGCAATCAGTAAATTGGTCTCTTTGTTAGCTTTCATCTCGTGTTTAATGTACCATTACAGAAAAGCTGTCAGAATTAAATATTACCATTAGTACATCTTGAAGTAAAGAGTGCTAATTTATACAAGCCTTCAAAGCTGCAACCAAAATATGCGTCAGGATATTGCTTCAGAGAATAGCAATAGCTATTTTCTTTTAATCAGCAAGAATCTGAAGAACCCTGGTAAATATACAAGATAGACCAAGAAACTTGTAAGTTTTTTATTTGATATATTGATGACAGGACAATTTATTGAAACACAAAATAAAAAAGGAAAGAAAAAATAACATTTTGGCTGAACTAAATGGTTTTTGGATGGATATTGCAAATAATTCAGTTTACTATAAATTTTGGTTCTGCCATTATAGTAACATTCTTCATCTGACATCATCGGATAAATGAAAGTACACTGCTAACGTTTCAAGTTTGGAAATAATTATCCTTCTGTTATAAAAAGAAAAAAAGTAGTTTCCTGGTATGAGCAGAGCAGTAGTGGATCATCATGTCACATCATATTGGTCATTGTGACAAGCAGTGTGTGTAGGAGTCACATCTTCATTTCACGGTAGTTTATTTTATATTCTATTTGGCTATACCAGAATATAATTAAAAAGCAACATGTACTGAAACTGGCTTCTACCCATTTGTTCATAAACTTGAGATATTGTCAAATTTCTACCTTTTAAATGTGTGCATGAGCTTTTTACATCAGCGCCATAAATGAATACTAATAGATAGGCTGCTACACGTCAGTCTGAACTGGGCATGCTATTCTGAGATATGATTTACAATCAGCAGAAAGATATTCTCTCATATGGTTGAGAAACAGAAAAGATGAAATATGGAGAGCTTGCTAAAGTTTGGAAAGTGTTCATTCTTACCATTTCATAGCTCCCAAAGCACCTGCAAGCTCTCAGATACTTGAGTGGATAAGTGATAATGCAAGTAGGACATATAAAAATTCAAGATCTGAATGCTCACTTATGAAGTGTTTGGAAACCTCAGCCCCACCAGCCTTTAGTCCAAGTGGAATCTCATCAATATCTACCAGAACTATGAAAAGGCAATAGGCAACTTACTGCATTATTTCCTAAAAAGTAAGTGCATGTGAACTCCCTGCCCATTGAGGCTGAACACTTGCCACAGTCGTTCAGGCTGACTCCTTTAAATTCCTTGTCCTGTGTGGAGGTGGAATAACACATTGCTGCACAATCAAGTACTTGTAGTTCTGCTGAAGTTGAGCGTTTTTTACCTTGGACTTCTCTCCAAGTGTTGCTAGATTTACAACCTTGCTAACCTGCATATACATTTTATTATGTGGAGCTAAAATAGAACCGCTGGGCCTTTTCTTTAAACATGGAAAAATGCATAAAATCAAGCAAATTGTAAATTGCAGTCACAAGTTAACATTCAGAAGCACAAACACAGATTTGGATGTTTCCTTGGTTACTACTGCACATTGAATTTATCTACCCCAGACCCAGGAAAAACTGGGGTAAGAGATATGCTATGAAAAATCCAAAATCTCAGAATAGAGTGCTTCCCATTTAGCATATAAAGAAGCGAATAATTTTTTCTATTAAAATGACCATAGATGAGAAAAAAGATGATTTTTGAATGATGATATCTCTCCTCTAACATTTGTTCTTTTCTCTTGGTTTAGGTGAAGTGGAACCTTCCCTGAAAAAAGGTTGGTCACTATAGAGGGCAAAAGTTTTGCAACCATTTAAATAATGAACTAGTATATCTGTGATGTAGATCCTGTCATTAGTTACATTGACATCTACTAACCACGTAAACTGTGCTTTAAAAAACTTATTAAATAAGAAATTGAGTAATAATAATTGCTGTACTGTTTGCTGCTCTGTAAATTACAGAAATATTATCTGTACCCCTATCCTGCATGTGGGGCTCTTATTCATGCCAGTACCAGTTATCTGTATGTCTGGGTAGAAGTAATATTTAGAAAGGATAGTACAGAAAGAATATTTAGTGACAAATAATGATGAGGTGATGTAAAAGCATTTTACCTTGTGCCGATGCAGAACCTTAAAATAAGAACTACTTCTGAATCTTCTGAAACAAAAAACCTTAGTTATCATTGAATTTTTAAAACAGACAAGTGAAGCAAGTAGGATTTATAATATAAATCTTTTCAGACATGAAAATTGTTATGCTGAAACATAAAACTTAAGTTCAACTTCTATTAAATCAAAATGAAAATGTACTAGAAGGATTGAGATATTGGTGATAGGATGTAAAGCTTTTCAAAACAAGGGTGTGTTTTTTTCTCCAAAATGAGAACAGCTTGATAATAACAAGATGTGTAACCAGCCCTCTGTGATCTGAATTTGGTATCCATCAAATTCTTAATAGGTAAATGCCCATATTGAAGAATCTATCAGCCCAGTTGGGGCTGAGATTACAATGCAGCTTTCTCTGAAGTTAATTGGAACTGGATCAGTCTTCTATTTAATGACACATTTTGTCAGTCTCAATAGGACATCCAAGGAATTAATAGGCTTGAAGACCATTCATCTTTTTATGGATGATCCTTCATATTAGGACTGAAGATAACTTATAGACAATGTAGGAAAACATCTCTTTACTCCATCAGTAAGGATCACAAAAGGTTCAGCATTGTGCTCTCTCTTCTCCCAAAGAGAGAAATGCATTGTTAATTTTGCAGTGGGTGCAGAGTCTGAAGCTGTAGCACATTCTTGTTAGGGATGCTGGGTACATGCATGGAAGATGTCTATCACCATGGGCCAGTGTAGCTGACTGGACTGGGAGTACTGTGAAGGCACTTCACTGCTGGGAAGGCTTAATCCATAAAAATGCTATGGACATCACCATGCTTAGCATTGCAATCCCTGCTTGTTTGGAAATCAGTAACGTACTCATGCCTTATATTTTGCATTGGGACACTAGGCTGTAGAAATGGAATTCAGAGAAGCCATCAAAATAAGCTGAAAACTGTTTAAATTAGTCAGTGGTAAGTGGTGAGATGATTGTTTGGACCTAAAAGTCTTCCATCCAAGGAGATGTGTATCTAACTGCCAGCTTGAAATGTTTTCCTCACAACCCTGCTCGAGATAAACAGTATCTAACTGCCAGCTTGAAATGTTTTCCTTGGTATTCAAAGCTCACAACCCTGCTTGAGATAAATGCCTGAGAGTCTTCTGTCTTTGGTGTGAAGAAAATGGACAAGGAGCCAGTGGTCAAAGACCCTTTCTGGGTATAGCCTTACGCTTTCACATAGCAACATCATCAGATAACTTGTTACCACCTCCAGGTGACCAGAGGTTTCCATTTCATCCTGGCAACTAGGATATGGCCTCAATTATACTTGATTTTGTCACCTCTTTTTCTGGGCTACAGAAATAAAACAAAGTGGGCCTGAAGCTGCCGGTCCTTTAGAAACGCCCATGTACTGTGGTTTTCTGCTCAGTGACAGGCAGCTTTCTCTTTTTCTGGGCTACAGAAATAAAACAAACTGGGCCTGAAGCTGCCAGTCCTTTAGAAAGGCCAATGTATTGTGGTTGTCTGCTCAGTGACAGGCAGCTTTCAGAGCTCCTCAGAGCTATTACTGACTCTCTTTGCAGACTTCTCTTAAATTTGTGTAAATATCATGGAGCTGGGTCTAAGCCTATACAGAAGGTTTCTGAGAGCTCAGTGATGAAGTCTGGAGTCAACAGCTTTTCTGCTTAGACCCAGGGAAATTCAATCCTGGGGCTAAAGCTCCAGAGCCCTGGGAGGGGAGGGAAGGAGAGGTCCCAGACAAGCTCGTGTGGGCAGCACTCTCACAGACATCACAGTCTGTTCCTCTGAGCACAAGGTGCACGTCTCCTTGAGTAGCTTTTCCTAACTTATGTGTGCTGTCATGTTTGTGGCCCCGAAATAAGAGTTCCAGAAGAAAAGCTTGCTAAAACAAAACAAGATATTGTATCTGTGATTTTTCCCATGTGACTGCTGTTAGGGCTGGACCCAAAGAAGGGCCAGCTATACAAATTGGGACACTTTTGGGGTATCAAAATACTAGCAGTAGGATCCACAAAATCAGAACCAAACTTTTAGGCTGTGTAGTATTCTCTGCTTTCATAAAAAGGACTATTTCTGCATCAAAGTCCCTTTCATTCTGCACAGCATTGGTATCTATAGCTTTGTGGATTTTCCTTCTTCAGGTGTCTCTTCTTATGCTTGTGGCATTTGAACATCCTAAACAAAAAAATGACCCAGTGAGATTGTGCAGTACAGCACCTCCATCTCCAGAAGATGTCATCATTTGACTTTTCCCACATATTTACAGGAAATCTCACTCAAATTGCACCCTGGAAATGCGCATTATGGTTTCTGTGCCTGATTTTTATGTATTTATAATGGATCCAACCCACAGTTATTGTGATATTCATTCCCAGGCTGAGAGATTTTTAAAACTCTCCATACCTGTTTTTTGGTGTATGGACAATCCTTCACTTGTTTGCTTTGTAGACTAGCAGATTTTATGAATGCTAAAATGTTTGCACAAAATTTACTTTATAATGGAATATAGTAATAGTAACTGAAAAAATAAGAAGACTGCTAGTACCACAATACAGCTACATATTGAAAAATATTCAAGGGGAGTGGTAAGGACACCGTGTAGTGATGAAGAAAGCAGAGAAACGTGTAATGATAATTACAAGCCCAAAGAAAGCAAAGATCACCTTCCTAGAGGTGTAAATTGAAAGCAAAGATAATAAAAGTACAATAATGACAATGGGCTTGCACAAAATGCAACAGGACTAATATCAGTTTCAGAATCCTTTAGAAAGGATGAAAATGCCTCTCAAGTGCGTTTTTTATTGCAATTATTTTTGCCAGTCCAAGTCTTATCACTAATATTTATCTTTAATAATTGGAAAAGAGTGAACATTTGATATTGTCTAGAAAAAAATGTGTTATTCAGTGAGGTAGTAAAAGGTTATTCTGTAGAGGACTTTGCAGTCCTTAACAATGCATATTCTCAACATGCTAAGACTGCAGAGTATTTTCACAAAAGATATTGAGAAACCTAATAACAGTTTCTCGCAGGCTTAATATATTTTTGGCTTCATTTGTTTCTAGAACAATGGCTATGACTGATAGTCTTATTCATTTTTTCAGGGTTAGTTGAACCTTTAGAGACAAATCCAGTTATTTGGCAGGTGTATGTTTTCTCCTCTTTTGGTCCTTTTTACTAGAAATTATTGTTATAGACAAAGAGAAAAATATTTATTATTTTTGGGTGGACATTACTGACATCAGTTATGAGTTTGGAGAAGCGCTGAGAAACTTGGTGCAAAAAATTGGAAATAATGATTTGTAAAATATAGGCAAGTGCACTCACTCCAGCGTTGTCAGTCAGGGCTAAAAAATGACATTATTAAACTGTTCTGTAACTTCTTTTCAGTTTACATATGGGTAACTGAAATTTAAAATCTGAACATGGATTCCTCACTTAGCTGGCCAGGGTACACCTGACAAGCTGTGCACATGTAGCAGTGGCTTTTGTATGTTAACGCAGCATCATCTTCTGCTTCGAAAGAGCTGACGCATTCTGGTTGGGAAACATAAATCTGGTATGTGGTTTTAGGAGTAAATTGTCAGAAACCTTTGAAAAAGATTCTAAGGACAGAATTATTTCATTTTTTATTTTATACTTTGAAGTTTAGGAAATTGTTTTTGTCAGATTTCCTTCCTTGTTTTTACATTTGAGTTTCGATTAAATTCTCTGTCTTTCTTTCTCTCTCTTGCACTCTTCCTCTGTTTCTCCCTCACACAAGTCAGCCACTATGTAAATAATTTTCATTTCAATAGATGCAATGAACCTAGAAATCAGACTAAGAAATAAAGCACTGCTAACAATCTTTGTATTACCAAATAGGTTTTTATTGGCATAATATTATTCTATACCAACAATCAAAATAAACTTGATTTCCTTGAGGTAGAGATGGTTGTCTAAATTTCTGTGAGTTAACCTATGTGTGAGATAGATAGAAAGATTTATTCAACTGTTAAAACTGCAGTGATGATTTTCCAAAAGAGTTCTGAGCGGTATTATAGTTTATATCAGAAGAATAACTGGAAAAATTCAAATAGCTAGCTGATGTGGCAACTAACTTTATTTCTGGGCAGAATACTGAAATTAGAACATTCTCTTTTTTCATTTGGAAGTCCTTTTTTTAATACAGTAACAAATCTGCAAGAATGAAGAAAACAAGTGGGTTTTCTGGAGGTAATATTCAAGTTCAGAAAGCTATTTCCAACCGAAAAATTTGACATGGACCAGAGAAAAGAAATTCAGAGTACCATAAATGCAACCTGAAAACAGAGTTGCTGGTGTGGTTGTTTTATGTGTGACTTAGAAATTAATTATGCAGTTCCATTCATCCCTAACGTATATATCTATTTGTACTGGTAATGCCTTCTGAATTCAGTTTCTTTTATGTTGCCATATGGTAATGTTCACTTTTCTGCGTATGAGCTGCTATTATAGATCTCTTTAAAAGGCTTTCACTGTCTCCCTAGGCTACACTTTACTACAAAGCATTTTGCGTATCTTTGTGTAAAGTACACCCTGTGTTAAAAGATGAAAATCATTGATTGACTCAACTCTCAGATGTTAAACTGCTTTTCCAGATATTCATTTTTCGCATTTTGCATTTTTGT